TATATATATATATATATATATATATATATATATATAGATAGATAGATATTGCACAAGTTATTGCCGTTGTTGTGTCACATGGGTTTCATGGGTGTCTACATCGACTGCTTAAGCTGGAAAACCTAATTTAGGTCATTCTTAACTTGTGTTAAAGGGGCCACCTTAAAATTACTCTGAGGGCCGCTAATGGCCTCCAGGCCAAAATTTGGACAGCCTTGTATTAAGGATATTATTAGAGGTGTTTTCTTACCATCTAGTGGTCAGAGTGTGAATTACACCTGGTTCATCTTGTGTGATGGGATCAAAACTGTAAGATGTTTTTTAATATAATAATGTAACATTTTAGCAAACCAAGGCAATTAGGGCAGGGAAGGGAAAATAATGCTTGTAAAGGACAATAATATTCTTTAGGAACCAAGACAACCAGCCACACAGAAGAAATTGTTAAATATTTGCTTTGGAATCAAATAAATGGCAGCTCAGGACACTGGATAGCAGGAAGTCCAAATCTGGGGCAGAAAATGATGTTCAGAGGTTGAGTATGGGCAGAATGGCACAACCTTTTTTTTAATTTGGAACAACCAACCTGTCAGAGTGCTACCATAAGAAGATCAGAACTCTGTGATGATTGATGACCTGTCCCCCCTAATCACATGTAACAAGAGGAAAACCCCAAGTTTCTGGTACAACAGCAAGACTGGACAGAATCACATATTTATTTAGCCATAGTTCTCCAACAGTCTCAGTTTGGCCTTCTTAGCCAATACGGTTTACTCAAAATTATATCCATGAAATGCTCAAACATGCTTGTCACTTCATACATGTGTATAGAGGTAAGTACCTCTGTAGTTCTGAATGGCTCAGGTTGTTTCTGTTCTTTGTTTCTACATCTCTTGGATTTTCATTGTTGTTTTTATTGAAATTTGCTGAACCTAAATCCTGTATTAGTGTATTTGGGTTCTGAAAAATGCATTTTCTGACTTTATGACAAGTGTCTGACTTTATGATATTTCCAAATTTTGTTTCAAAGGATTTTTTTTTTATTACAAACCTCCACGTGTGCTTACAAATTAAAAAAATATATTTGTTATATTTCTACACACAAAAAAGATGCTTTTATCAGTCAGAGTTAAAGGTATAGTGGAGGATGTTCTTTTTCTGGTTGGATCATCAAAATGAGTGGTCCTCCTAATTGTCAATCATTCAGGTGATATATTTATGTAAAGACATCCTACATGTTCGTCCCTATTTTCACTTACTGGGGGTGAGTCTGAAATAGAGGAAAAATTGCAAATATTCTTTTGGAAAGCAGGCTTGTATGTTAAACAGAGCATGAAAGAGGAGGAATGGGCTTGTGCATGCTCACGCACGTGTTGAATATATGCGTTCCATCTTGTGTTCAGCTACAGAGTTGTGCATGTGCATTTTTTTTTTTTTAAGTGGAGAGGCCGGGTCTTTTCAACAACTCACAAAGATCCTCCACTATACCTTTAATGAAAGTTCATCTTTGCCATGCTTATGTGTTTGGGCAGGTTGGTTCAGTGCAGTGATGCTGGGATGTCCACACTTCCTGTGAACGTTCCAGCCGACACAGTCAAACTTCGCCTGGAGAAGACCCTGATCTCCAGGGTGCCTCGAGCAGCTTTCTATAACCTATCTGAGCTACGCTTCTTGTGGCTGACCTACAACACCATAACATCTGTCCATCCCAGCAGCTTTGTCAACCTGAAGGCTCTAAGGGAGCTGCGCCTGGATGGAAACCGGCTGACAGCCTTCCCCTGGGAGGGGCTGAGAGACATGCCCCGCCTCCAGACTCTTGGACTCAACAACAACCGCCTAACCAGCCTTCCAGCTCATGCTGCGCTCTTCCTCCCTAACATCACCTACCTGGATTTATCCAGCAACAGGTGGGTTATGGAGCCACAGTACAAGTGAGACTGTAAAAATATATTTTATGTCAGCTCCACCTGCTCATTGATGCTCTCTTTTGCTCAGGCTTACCATGTTACCAGCTGAGCTTTTAGACCTTTGGTTTCCTCTTCCAGAGCTACAGGGAGGACCAGTTCAAAGAAAGATCCTAGGCAAGTATAAATAGAATTAGAGAGAAGGGGAAGACATGCAGAAAAGGTCAACAGGCCGGGAGTTGAACCTGCAATAGTCGCATAGAGGACCAAGCCTGTGTGCATGGGATGCACGCTTAACCCCTCAAACACCGCCACGTCTCATGGAAAGAGAAAAAAGATAAAAGAGAAAATAAATCTGTACAATTGATTGATAAAAAAGAAATCTAAATGAAAGTTAGAAATTAAAGACAATAGCCAGTTCACAGACATGCAGGAAAAACTGCAATAAGTTGATTTTAGAAAAACTGAGAAAAACGTAATTATAAGAACACCATTGATCACTCTGCATTCCTAAAGGCTGCTGTTACTTTTGAGTCTGCAACAGTATAGGCCAAGTATCGGATATAGCAAAGTCAACAGACCATGATAGTCTATGAAGGAATGAATGGATAAACGGAAAAAAGACCACCTCCAAATGTTTAAACCTCCAGACTACAATCCAGTTTTCCAAGATCCAAACACACCCGATAAAATGCTTTTGATAAACTCTAGATCCTGATTATAGGTGTCAAGTATTTCATCTGTACAGCTACACCAGAAGCAATGGCATAATTATCAGTAAGCAGAGACAGCAGTTGCTTAGGGGGCCCAGTCCTCTTAGGGGCCCCGTCAGTGACACCTGGTTGGCCCCCTACTTACTTGTGGACTAAGACGTCTCTTTGCAGATGTAATGGTGTGTAAAATGCATCTTAAACCCACCTGTTACTGGGCTGACTGACTGGACCTTATTTAAACCCCAACACATGCCAGATTTCAACATGATGGTGAGCCGCTTAAACACAACACCAATAGCCAAGCAGACAGTGGTACTTTTAATTAATATGTTAATAACTGTGTATAGTTTATTAGTTCAATAAACCTAACAGTTGGTCAAAAATACACTCATATAATATGTTTAAAAACACAATAAAGATCTTAAAAGAACAATGTATTTGAGTATTTTATTTTTTACACTACGACTTGGAATTAAGGGTAATCCAGAGCGTGGATTAAAAACATTGGGTAAAAAACTTCCCAAAATAAAGACGTTCTTTCAAAGAACCAAAGAGGGAGAGGTGGACGTTGCTGCTGCATTGAGTAAAGATTGTGACCAGGAGATGAATGGAGAGAGCGTAGGTGAGGAGAGCTGTGAAACTCAAGGTAGCCCGATAATACTTATTTTACAACAGAATATACTAAAGTATATCCATGTCTAGTGACGGTGAAGAATGATGAAATGAAGTGCGTATTTATGGGGCATATTTCGGGTCGGTTGTCTATGGCGACCTTTATCACGTGTTATACTTCATTGGGGCCCACCCAGGTGATGTTGCTTACGGGCTTATTGTTGTGTCGTTACGCCATTGACCAGAAGAATAAAACCTGTCTTCTTACCCAGGTCTTCATGACAACCCCTGGCTGTGTGATTGCCAGATATCCATGCTGACATCATTGTCCATGTCTGTGGGGAGTCCAGTGGTTTTGATTGATCAGCTGCTAATGTGCAGCAGGTCTGTTGGCCAGTCCGGGTTGCTTCTAACACAGGATGATCTCTCTCGCTGTATGAGGCCCTCTGTCCAGCCAGCAGCAACCAGGGTTATCTCTCCACTAGGCAGCAATGTTATCCTCCGATGTGATGCAAGCGGGTACCCAACCCCAACGCTAACCTGGATCAAGACCTCTCCTTCCACTGGTAAGAGATGCGGGGCCAATCTGAGGTACTGAAGTGATGCTAGAATAATCTGGATTAAAGCAACAAAGAGCTTATTATTCTCAACAGGTTGTTGTCAGCAAGAGTTCCTGCAGAAACCTGAACAGCTGCCCAGGATTTTGGAGAGCTGTAAGTTGTCCCATATTTGAAGCATTAATATTTCTTCATCATAATTTAGCTTTTACTTTATCGTTTACCTTTATAATGCTGATTTTTTTTCTCAAATAAAAAAATTCAGTTTAAACTGTCTGCCACTTGTTTCAGTCATACAGGAATCTCCCAGGGTCGGCGTTCGTTGGTCAATAATCAGTCTGAATGGCTTATCTTACAAGGATGCTGGGGAATATCGCTGTCAGGCACGAAACATGGCTGGAATATCTGAAGCTCCAATCAAACTCAGGGTTATGGGAATCACAAGACTGTCTCGTTTCCCAAAAAGGAAATCTCAAAAGACCTTGTCCAAACCATCACCAAAATACAGAAAGCGCCCCCGAACTCCTGACGTCTACAACCTCAAAGAAAAGGAGAGTCCGAACATTACAAATGCCCCAACGATTTTACCGAACAACACCCCGGACATTTAAACTCTTCATTTTCATTCATTTCAAGAAAACAAAGCATATCATTGATGTTCGGTCCATACCAGTGAATGTACCATTACTGTCCGCCATCATCAGTAGCCCTGGTTGTTAACCTGCTTGTTCAAGGTAGGCGCTGCTGTGGTGTTGGGAGGTGGGCTGGTGGAGCAAGAGTGAGGGACCTGGAGGAGGTGCTTGTTCAAATATTCAGGGTAAGTCAGCTGTTCTCTTAAAACTCCCTACTGCAGCTTTGACCTCTGGATTCGAGGGTAAAAAGACTTGTTCCCCTCTCTCAGTTGATTATCTACCATGTGATTTATTTCACCCTGACCAAACCTCAACTGCTTAACCCTTTCCATTTTGGTCTCTCATTTCTTAAAGGTTTGTCTGGGGGTAGGGTTATGCTTTCACAAGGCCAGAGACAATCTTTAATTATTCTAGCATAAACCCATATCCCACCAAGTCTAAACTCTTTTAACATGCCATACATGTTCTGTAGAAGAAACAGTTGAATGTGATTGCTGTAATAAAAAAAAAAAAAGATGTATGTTGTTGATTTGATTAATTTGATTTTTAAAATGTTTTTCATCTCATATATTCACTTTCACAGAGAAAATTAGACTGCATTTGCTGTAGATTGGACTATATCAGGTCATGTGACGTGGTCTTTGCTCAAACAGGTGTCCATGTTTAGGAATCAGGAAGAAATTAGTAAAAGTGTTACGACTTCTACATTCAAGGACTGTATTTCTGAAGCAAGACACCATTTCCAGACTGACTCTGATATTTGTTAAGAGCTTAATTATCTATGAGTCACATCAAAAAACAGAAAAAAATGATATCAGGCTAGTGTTAGTATAATGCTTAAACCACACCTTTTAAATAAGGACTGAAGCTGAAGACTTAGAAGCTACTTACTGGGGTACATCTTCATGACATGTTCACCTTTTGCCTTCATAGCTGCCATTTAATCTTTTTGGCAATGATTCAAAAGCAGTTGTCATAGATTTTAGCCCATATTCACATTGTGGCATCTTGTAAATGGTGCTATGGTGGCTATGCATTCATTATGTCATTCTGTAACTACTCACTGTAAAACATTATCATGACAAGATTATGTTTTAAAAATGCTCAATTTCTGACAAAAACACCAAACACCTTCAAAGGACCCTTGCACCCTATTTGTAGTAGAGGTCTCTGATGCTAATAAGGTAATTTCATGACATCTTTGACTCACTGTCATGTCTTTTTATAAATGTCCACCAAGCTGCTGGTAAATTATATACACATTTAGAAAAATACCAGAAAGCTGCATGCGCAGCAAAACAGTTACATTTCAACCATGATCGGCAGATTTAAACCACTGCTTGTTTTGCTTAAGGAGTTCCCTTACATCTCTGCAATGCATTTCTATTTTTCTGTAAATGTAGGAAATTGTCGATTGAATGATTTAAACTATCATGCTCCACAAGGCTCAAATTTTGGTCACATTATTTCAAAATACTACCTTAAATCTCTGTTTTTCAATGTAATGAATTATAGGACAAAAATGGTTCGCATAAAAATATTTTTATTAAGCTTTGTGTTCTTTAAGACCTGATTAAAAAAATACACATTTTACAAGAATCTTTACAAGAATATTATTTAGGTCCTATCATAAATAACTTCAATTACTTAATATTATTGTAATAATTTCTTTCAGAAGTTTATTTTGTGTTTTACTCAAAAGGTTTGAGGCAAATGCAGAAAAGAACAGAAAATGTTTGGCTAATTCCCCAGTAATGCTCAGAATCAAAATTAATTATTGTCTTTGTTTCACTGGGAGTGAATTCCTCACAGACATGGAGACTAAACTAAGATTTTTTACAGAACGCAGCAGACTGGGTTAAAATTCCCACTTTTTAGGAGCGTTGCTCTCCAACCATGCTGCAATTTCAGCCTGGTTCCTGTTGGTCCACTCGATGTTGTTCTTTACTGTCTCCAGGGCCTGCTGCCTGGGCATCTCTCCTGCTCCAGCATCTGGAGTCAGTTTGAAGAAATTCTCCATCTGAAGAGCCAGAGTGAGAAAAATTAATCAGAAAAAGGAAAAACGAAAACACAAACAGACCTCAAGAGGAATGAATTCAGAAGCAGTTAAGGCGTACAGAGGTTTTTTTTCCTAACTTTTCAAAAGACCAGAAAAACATAAGGACATGTTCTGACCTGCCACAGCTGCAGCTCTTCGTTGTAGGTGGTTGTGATCCAATAGGGCAGCCGGCCAAGGTTCCTGTCATTGATGGTGTATCTGTTGAAACACATGAATCATCAGCATCGCCAACAAATGCTTGTTTTTCATGCTCATGAAGATATTATATTTCAACTCTGCATTGATTTGGTTATATTGAATTACAAAATGAATACATGAAAAAAAAATTTATTGCATACAAAAATATTCTAGTGCAAAAATAAATAAACTTTGAAAAATAAATATGTGATGGTGTTTTAAAGATCTAATGCTACAAGCTTGCTCTGGGCTTCAACTTAGACCTTTGAATTGAACAAATGCTGTCATTTGAAATGACATTCCCAGCTCTTACCTAAAGTAAATGTTTGACAGTTTACAGGAATATCTGCACTTTGTTTCCTTTGAGCAGAAACTTTATATGTAATCCTCCTCATTTTGAGGAGGATTACTCTGTAAAGACCATCATTACACTGTAAAGACTGTCATGCAATAGTCTTTACAGTCTGTTCCATTATCATTGTTTATTATGCCTGAGAATGACTTGGATGTCTACCTCATATACATCAGCTGACTGGACTTGCAAATTCATGTTTAAAAACAGCAAGCTCAACTAAATAAATTATAATTTTATAAATGGTATTTTAAGGTAGTTCTTGCCCGGTTGTACTGACCTGTTGACCAGGAAGTCCCAGTTTAAGGTGGTCCAGTCCCAGGCCATTTTCTGACCCACTGGGTTGTACGACACATACCGCACCACTGTGAACAGGTCCTGACTTCTTATCACACTCTCATTTTTGGTGGCTTCCAGAAGACTGTTGGACAGAGCAAAGTTTCATCTTTACGATTCTTTACAACCTTTTTTTTATTATTATTTCAAACTTGACAGGCTAGATTTAAAGATAAAATCCAAACAGGAAGGTTTGATACAAAGTCGAAGACCACAGCCCCCTCTATCCATCTGCAAAATGTTCAGGAATATTTACTTTAAAATATCAGTTTAAGGAAACCCTCGTTGGAATCAAGAGCAATTTAAATCTTTACTTTTGTCAAATAAGGTGATATTTGTGGCACAGATAGTAAACTGAAACACTTATTCTGACTACAAATTAGAAAGTAATGGGTTAACGACTGGGTACAGTAAGGGATCAATAAACTACAGTATATCCAGTCCAGTCCAAGTAGGAGGAAGATAAGTTACAGTTAGAGAGCTTTGGAAACATTCATCTGTCAAAGGGGACACATCAAATGTCTGCCACACTCTGACTTTCTTACAAAGTTCCTGATTTTGGTATTTGTTGCAGACATCTTTAGTCCTGAGATGTGAATTTGTTGCCAATGGGTCTGTAGCATTGAACAATTCAGGCCTTTAATTCAGCTCAAAACCACAGATCCACATTTAATTCTGATTTTAATGAGCTAACCAAGTTGCAAAATGTAAACCAGGCTTTGATATTAGAAAACTAGCCGTTAACATTCTCCATAGGTGTCTGATAGGTTATTAGAACTGTACTTCTCCATAGGTCAGTCGGAAAGAAGAGCCTGGGTTTAGGGGTTGCCAGGAGTTGTTTTTCAGAAACCCATCAATTCAGCTGAAAGGAACTCTGAATCAACAACTGATTTTTACACCATTCCATGATTCCAACTTGGCTTTAGAGATGACCCCCTCCTCTTCCAACATGACTGCGTATCAGAGCGCAAAGCAAGGCCCATAGCAACATGGATGAAGGAGTTTGGTGTGGATGAGTTTAACTGGCTGTCACAAAGTCATAACTCAACCCACTAGAAAACATTTGGGATGAATTAGAGAGGGTGAGTTAGAGCCAGGCATTCACTTCAAACATTAGTTTATGATCTTATGAAAGCAAGTCTGAAAAACGATCTAAGATTTCCATAAATAAATATGTGGACAGCCTTCCCCGAAGATTTAAAGCCGAGGGGTGAACCAGTGTCACATTAAATATAAAGTAAGAATGGGATATTAGTTAAAATTATATGTGATTCAAGGCAGGTGAGCAATATAGTGTATTTTCCTAGAGTTTCTTTCTTTTTGTTTTGTTTTGTTTTCATATTATTCAGAAAAAAGATTAGAACTTTTCAGATATTTCACAATTTTGTTACATTAATACTACAAAGCCTGCTTTGCTGCAGAAATTCTATTATTTGAGCCTCAATTGCGTAAAATATATGTATTTTTTTTTTCCGTACAGAAACATTTACAGGAAGCACTGATTTTAAAAATTGAAGGGGCTAGATGGAGATGGCCTAATGCTGATATTCAGGGGATCAAACCTTCACACTGACTTGTTCAAAAGCTCCACATTGTCCACCGATGCCAGTCCGTACAGAAGCTTGTCCTTCTCCTGAGCCAGAGTCGAGCTTTTGTACCTTCGGAACATCTCGTTCCACTTCTCTGGAGTCCCTGAATTCTTCATGCCATAGCGGTACACCAGTAGCCTCAGGTTGACGGGGACGCTGCTGCAGATTAAAAATAAAAAAATAACAGAAAATATGTTAGAATTGAAGTTTAACATTTTGTTTGAAGGTTCAGTGTTTTTGTAGGTTTAAACACATTAAAAAAGCTAACCTGAGAGTGTTATCAATCCACTGGTCAAATAGAATGGATGCTTGGTCCAAAGAATCCTTGTCTCCCACGCCACATGCAATGCTGAGGACAGTTTCCCTTAGCAACCTGCACAATAAAGCAGTCACTGTCAATATATGTTCAGTACAAATTTTAAAAGTAACCATTTAGTATGAGTATACACTGTCTCT